AAAAAAAAAAAAAAAAAAAAAAAAAAAAAAAAAAAAAAAGGGGGAATAATAGGGAAAGGCATGAGCTGGTTTCTGGTTAGTTTGGAGGTACTGTAACAGTATGTTCAAATATTTTTTTTTTCCCCCTAAAACTGACAAAAACCACCTCTGGCAACTTTCTGCTGTGCATAAAACTATGAAAGGAGCACATAAATATGTGCATGGACAACTACATTTGCTCCTTCTCTCCCTTTCCTCTCCTACTAGCTGTAGTACGTCTACTGTTAGAGGTAGGTTAAAGCAAAGAAAATGCATCTGACAACGTTATACATCAACAGTTTTTAATACATTCTGTCACATCACCAGCAGCTGCACTTGCCACTTACAATTATATCAGAACCCAAAATAGAACACTTAGAAACTGCACTGGAATAGATGGTTCAATATATTTATAGGCTGCAAATAAGGTTTCTTAATAGGTTCAAATGTAATCTCCCTGATGCTAATTCAAATTTGATTTCAACTTAGACTTAAGTTGAACTGCAAATGTAAATAGATTAGAATACCATAACACAATCACACCTTTTCTGCAAAGGTAACATTCAGGTTTAAACTTTGGAGAACTATCCAAACTAGGCTTTTGCTACTTTGTAAAAGAGTAGTGTCTTTCTCATATTAACTATTTCATAGCTGAGATGTATTTAATTTTTTGAATTCTACATCTTGACTGATTAATATGATTTCTTCCAAAATTTGGATATAGAATAATAAGAAAAACCAGTCAGGCAGTGTAGATACTAAAATCTTTACAGGAGCGGATAATTTTTGAAGGATGACTTAAATTTAGAACCTAACCTTGATGATTATTCTGGACTGATTACTGTTCCAATAATGTCATTTGTTTAAAACACAGAATAAATTGCAGGATCAGTGCCACCTCATCCATGCTGGCAGCCAAATATTTAATAACTGTCTGTAAAGTTCACACAAGGATTTATGCTCAAGAGTGACATCTGCTATCAGCTCAGGAGTGTAAGAGGTGATGGTAAGATGAAGAATATCATGGTTTAATGAAAGTTTTCCATAAGTGCTTAAACAAAACCCTCTTTTACTAGCTGACTCTTAACAATCTCATTTATTATTTTATTCCAAAATGAAATCTGAAAATTTTTCACCATCTCTTAAACCACCTGAAATTTGATAGCAATATCTAGATAAATATATTCATAAAACACTGTGCAACAAACCTTTCTAATTTCAGGGGAGCTTAGTGAGCCCTGGATAGAAGTATACTCATTAGAATTTCCTATATCCTAGAAAACTTAACTACTCAGCATCTGAAATCCACCCTGAGCTAAACAGAAATCCACTCTGAGCTAGAAGAACTTAAATACCAACAGTAATATAACTGCCTGCCCATACGGGCACATTCCAATAATCTGCTATTCAGTAGTTAGACAGAATTCTTATTTCTTAAATGATACATTTTTGACATCTTTTTAATAAACAAAAAGGGTCACTAGAAGTCAAATCATCTTCTGTAACAATCCAGTTTTGGCAGAATTACGGTGTCATATACAACTAACTATATAGGTTGTCATTTAATACTACCAAAAGAAAATAATTTCTAACTCTATTGTCAGGTAACCTTCTTCGGAGAATAGAGAATCTGATGCCTAACACCCACATGAGACACAGGAATAGTTGGATTAACAAGACTAATGTCATGCTGTCAGCTGCTGTTTATTTAAATAAAATGTCACAATCTAAAATAAATCAGAAAGTTTTAAAACAGTGAATTGTAACACACCGTGTTTCTCAAGCTGGACAAAAGTTAAATCTCATTTACACAGCATTGCTTTCTAGAAGTCTGTACATTTTCTTGAATTTTTAGCTTGTCATTTATGTGACATATGAGATATTCTTCCCTACTTCTGTACATTTGTCCTTAAAAATGAATGCCTTTCAAGAAATCTGTTTTGTTTTCTTTGAAAAAGGCTATACAGGTTAAATCCTGCTTCTGATATCTTGCTATGCTTATTTCAACTTGTAGAGTGTTGTGTAACTCCTTTGCCAACCCATTTATTTCATTAAATCAAGAAGGAAATAACTTGTTAAGTCTTTTTTTTTTTTTTTTTTTTTTGGTGAAGTATAATGAAAACTTGAATTCAGCTTCTCCAACACCCAATCCCTCTTTAGATGCTTTAAATGCAGTTACAATTGACTTGACTTTCCATCAAGTTTTGGTTTGCTTTCTTGTTTTTTCCCAATTATCATAGAAAAGTGAGCAAGAACTAAATAGATAGATTATAACTGAGTTATGGGTAAGTGGAAGTGGTTTTATTGTTTTAAGTGTTTCTTCTGAATTATATCTGGGCCCAGCTGCCATATAGTTCAATAACTGAATTGTAATTCAGGTTGGGTTATACTTTTACCTATTAACACACATGAACCTATGAAATGATGAGCTCCATCAAACATAGTGGAAACAGTGGGAGCTTGAAGACACTCAGCATTATTTCTGGATATTGTCCCAAGATACCTACCTTTAATTTTAAACTTACACTTTAAAATATGTGTACGTCCATATATAGAGAGATTACCACAGAATACAATCATAGGTTTATCTTAAATGAACATTAAGAGTTGTTAGCATGAACACATAGGCACATATTTTGGGAATAAAGATAAGATGACAGGGAGAAACTTCACCGCGTTCTCAAACACCAAAGCACAAACCATAAAATCATGGAGATACTTACTTGTCCGGGCTTCCCATTCTCACATAAGAAGGCTTCATGCTCTGATGCAAACTCAGGAGCGTTGTCATTTACATCAAGAACTTTGATAGCAACAGGCACCCGGGACACTTGACTGTGGTTCCCTAAGAAAATAAATCAAACAATAAAAGGTAAGAATATCTAATTTGGGACTGATGCATAAATGCTTACATAGTAAATATACTCTTCCTGTCTTCTGTCCTTGCTTAATTGGGTTGTCTTATCTGTAATGGATTGTAGCATTGGAGCATGAGATAAAGAAGGATGGCCAGTATTTTATGGTTGAAAAGAACAAATAGATCCCTATTGCAAACAGCATTTGTTGGAGATTAGCTCAATGAAGACCTTTCTTGGACTAAATTGGTAAGATTTCTCTTTGATGAAGTTTGTATTGTTTTATTGATAAAGTCCATTATACATGGAAAAGAGAAGGCTGTAAACAACATAGATTTATTTCTTTGTTTATCTTTGGCAGACCACAGAGCATTTTACTCTATTAGTTGTTCTGACTGCACATCTATTATTTCTTCATTACAAATACGATTAATGTGGAGACCACATTGTGAGAAAGATAGATGGTAGATTGACATAGGCAAAACTAGAATAGTACTTTGGACTATTACAGTACTTTGATTCATGTGCCACTGACCAAAAATATGACCTGTGAACTTCTTTCTTCACCAAAATAAACCCTCAGTATTTACAATATAGAGCTATTTGGCATAAAAGTGTTCATCAGTGTAAAAAGTAGAAGAACGTTGTAAGGCTGCAAGGAAAAAAAAGCTAAACCATCACTTTGCATTCTACTTTGAATAGATTTCACAGTTTCTACTGTTTTTCCTTCAATTCAATATAGTTAATTTATTTTAAGAGACTATTTATAAATATTTTAGATTATTTTTCCCCAAAGAGCAAACACATGAATTCAGTTTAAACTGAGGTGACCAGCTGAAGAGTTTAAAGAACAGTTCTATAGCACATGCATACCTCTACAAGTAACTCAATACTAGTTTCAAAATCCATCTCTTAGTGAGCGTTATTTTACAACCATAGTATTTAATCTTGTTTATCTCATCAATCAACCATTTGAAGAACTGCACGCTGTGTGAATTAAACTCAGGGTCTGACTTGTAATTGAACTATGCGCTTTTGCCTAAATTGTTACTGCAGGCAAGAAAGCTGCTGCCATAAATCAGGGTATCAACTCACTGACAGCTGTGACAGCTTAGCAGCTGTCCAAAGCTGCCATCAGCACATGTGGGTTCTGTCCTCTGGCAACACAGAACTGGCTTAGGGGAGGCAGGGCAGAAGTTCCTATTGCTGGGTATTCCATGTACCTCTGGTAACTAATGTAAGCAGGAGTAGGTCAGGCTCCACCGGAGCGCAGGTAGCAACTGGTGGCAACCCTACAAGCGGTAGAGATGATTAAAGGAAGAATCACTATATATACTGTATTTTTTTGTGGTTTCCATCAAAGTTAATTGTGTTGTGACCTAATCAAACCCCACCTCTTCTACCCTTTTGTTTTTTTCTTGTATGCTAAAGACAGCCATCATTTTAGAGGCTCCACCTATAAAGCTAAACGTGTGAATTTCAATTGTTCTGCTAACATTATATTGAAATACCATAAAAATAACAATTTCAAAAGACACAAAACCAGTCTATCACCAAATGTTCTAGTATTATAAACAAAGGCTTTATGTTTGCTGGATAGTCTGAAATATCAAAATTCTACCTGTATAGCATATGGAAGATTACAAGACATCAGAATTTAAATGCTTCCCATTTGAAGGAGTCAAAACTTCTTGTTCAGAAAGAAACATGTTACGGAAGAAAAACAAATCCCCACCAATATATTGTAAGAGCAGTATTTTTGTCCATTTTACATCATATCATCTTATTTATTAACGGGTGAGGTGAACACTTACGCTATGAAACAATAATGTATTTGAAATCAAATAAAAGTTAATATGCAAATCATAAATCCTAAACATTTTAAACACTTTTAAAAATCTTAACTTGATAAAAATACAGACAATGAATCTTGAGCTTCTCAGAATTCTCAGCACCAGTGTCATATTTAAATACTAAAGATTTACTTTTATCTAAATTAATGAAATGACAGGAGTTCAAATTTTAAAGACATTACAGAGAAATGTAATTAATTAGATAAGCTTCTAAAGAAATTATTCATGTCCCTTGTGACTGCCCCCAAAATGTTTGTCTTTCATCAGAAATACAAACATTAAATTTAAAGATATTATAATTAGAAACTTGATGAGAGTTCGTTTAAAAAATTAATTTACTAAACACAAGAGAGACTCAACTGGTTCGGAAATCTCCAAACAAGGGGATATCTGCCGCCTATTTGGGTTCTTGTGACTATGGTGAAATTTATTGTTGAGAAAGAGAGAGAGATGGAGAGGGAATTTTATCTACAGCTTGTACTGCCCACCACACTGAATACATTGCATTATCTTGTCATTGCAAACTTTCAATGAATTTTTGTTTTATGCTAAGTGTTTTGTCTGTAAATAAAAATCACCCTAAGCATACCTATTCAAACAAATTAATGAATTCTCACTAAGCAAATCCAGATTTCCCTCATGGATGAAAATACTGTCAAGATTAGATAGTTTCATCTGTCCATTTTCATACCTATAATGTGTGCAAACTTCTCAGTGGTAAAACATGCACACAGAGGATGTCTCTCAAGTTTAAATCCATCTCTGTTAGTAATATCCAATATCCCTGAACTAAAAATAGAAAGTGATTGAAGTGGATCCACTCTGATCCACAGAGTGCACAAACTGTTACGTTCGCATGAGCAACTGTCCTTCATACAGGTGGCCTTCATGCTCACTAGTATTCAATGTTTAGAATTTTTCCTCATTAGTATGAATTGAACGTTTGCATGAATGAAGTCAGTTATTTCTAAACTAGTGACAAAAATGAGTGCTAATTACCGGGGTTTTTTTTGTTTGGTTTGGTTTTTCTTCCCAATGAACCACCCAGTCAATAGAATTAAGGGAAATTAAGTCTTCTTGCACGTACCAGGAGGATAGTAAGACTGATTGCTTAAGTTACAATCATCATTTTATGCAAAATCATAAAAAAGTGTAAAGTTAGAGACACTCTCTCTAAGGAACTAACTGCATTTGTAAAAGCTTCAGCGCTTGCATTTATTGGGATGCACAGTTTAAAAAGACCTACCTTGACTCTTGTGATACAAGATTGTTAGGATCATCAATTGAGAAGCAATGCCTTGGTATGAAAATTTAGCACACTGATTGCAAGATTAAAAAATATTGAGAAAATTTCCATTAGTCTAGTTTATCACAACTCATTTCTGAGTAAGTCTGCACAGAAGGACTTAGTTTTCAATTTCAAATACATTCAGTTGGTCCTCTGTGGACATCACTGCCACAGCACAGCATGTAGCTGTACGAAACACATATGGAAATTGTGTACATAATTTCCTAGAAGTACAGCTCTTTTATGTCTCTGCTGAAGTCTCAATTACTGCCCACAGTTCTAGATATCCAGTAGTCTGTTGTAGGTAAGCACAGAACTCACACAAAGAAAGGAACATCTAGACAGATATAAGAAAAGGATGACTCAGTGTAATAATAACTAGTGAAACTTACTAGTGATAGTAAACAAACTTCCAAAAATAATGCAAGTCTGTCTGATTTTAGAAATAGATATTGAAAGGTTTACAAGAATTATAAGGACTTAAAAAGCTCTTCTGCTTTTCTCCCTAGTTCTCAAGTTTCTATTGGAGCATTAAACGCTTAAAATACACATCTTGCTGGTACTCATCTTTGAGTAACATACCCACTGAAATTTAGGATTAAGAAAGTCTGCACGGTTTGGTGCAAAAATTAAGAGGTAGATGAGACAATCAAAGTAAAATTTAAAAAAATCCCATTATCAAGCCATTTAGCATCTCCAAACCTGAACTTTTGGAGGCTACAGACCCATGATAGTTCTTATTGTGATCAACACATTTCTTCCTTCCTGGAAAAACCCTACATATCCGAGATGTGTGTGTATACTGGAAATTTGTAATGCAAAGCACTAAGCTTTGTTAACACTGCCACTGCATGCAGCAAGTAATACCAGGAGTAGCTAGAGCTCATGAATAAAATTTTTGGTCTTGTACCATAACTAACAGAATATAATGCAGCTATTCAACTCCCATAAACACTTAAACGCTTCATAAACATGCTTTAAACACTTCTCCACTGTCTTTCCTTGACAGATACACATACAAGTAGTCTTAAAGAGCAATGGTCTTTAAGAAAGGGAATTATTGGCTGTACAAAATGAGGTACATCATTTGTTTAACCCAAAGAAATCCAGTTTAATCCAGTTTTCCTTTACTTAATTAAATCATTCATAATGACTTCAAGGTTCTCTTTAGAAAGTCATAAGCTGTCTTGCATTTTAACTCAAACTAAATACCTGAATAGAAAGTAGACTCCTAGAAAATACTACATCTTTTGTTATTATCACCACCACCACATGGCTTGGAAATGGCTATTTCATGCTTCTCTGATTCAGTGAAATTTCTACTATAATAATATTTTAAATTAGAAGTAGAGGAAGTCTTAGTTCTAACAGAGAAATCAAAACAAAACCTGAATCACTGACTTAATAAAAACAACAGCACTTGGTTTACAACCCTTATATTTCAAACTTATTAAGTTGTATTTTAACAGATCCATTTCCCATTACTTTATCAAGGTTTTACCTACTGACTTTACTAAGACAATCTACAGGCAGGACAAGTTTATTTCTCCTGTTAGAAGGAATGTTGTTTTCTTTGTGCAATCCTTTGCCTATATAACATGACAGCTTGTAACAATTTTTTTTTGCCATAGAATACCAACAAATCTATCTTCAAGAACTCTGAGAAACAGAGATGTTATTGTGAAAATGAAATTTTGTTTGTGTTGAAGTTTAACTACAGAAATCTCCTACTGCAGCAAATACTGTGGTTCTGTGTCTGAACTGTTACATAATGATCTGATTCAAGAAAGACCAAGTGCCTGAAACTGACTGAAAATGTCAGGAAAAGACATAAGTAATGGGCAACATT